TAACCTAACCTAACCTAACCTAACCTAACCTAACCTAACCTAACCTATCCTAACCTATTCCATTATGTATTCTATTCTATTCTATTCTATTCTATTCTATTCTATTCTATTCTATTCTATTCTATTCTATTCTATTCTATTCCATTCCATTCCATTCCATATCCTATCCTATCCTACTCCACTCTATTCAATTCCATTCTACCTGTACTAAGAAAGATACTTTCTGAGCTGTGCCGATCATAAGGGCGCATCATGAAACAGTTGTGGAAGAGGAGGAAAAGGATGAAGACAATGGAAGGTTTTTTACACATCTTAGTATCATCCTATTTAGGAAATAACTCTGAGCAGGCTGATGAATCCAACTGACCACCATGCTATTTTATAGATAAGCATGGTTTAAAATAAAATACAGGTAGTCCTTGACTTATGACCACAATTCGAGCCCAAAGCCTCTGTTGCTGAGACAAGTTGTTCAGGGAGTTTTATTCGGTCATAAGTCACTTTTTTGGGGTGATGCTGTAATGACAGTCACTAAACAAACTGTTGCAAGTCAAGGACTACCTGTACTGCCCAGAATTTAGGTCTTAGCAGCCATTTCCCAGTGTCTAAACATTGTCTGCATGGCATGTATCTCCATAAAAACAGAAACTATTGCTTTTTTTTCACTTGGTATTTCAGCAATTTCTGCGGTATGAATTCCAGCCATTTATGGATCAGTCTGCAGAGAATTCTGCTTAGATAAAATGTTCTCCCGAAGCGATGATGCCTTCGTTGCAGTGAGACAAAAGTTGACGCCACATTGAAACACGAGACAACATAAGCAGGTAATGGTTTCCCAACTTCCTTTTCCTGAGATCCCAGCAAGCATTCAAATAGCCTGGATACACTGTTCTGACCCACACCCCTTTTCAACAAATCAAACACAATCCAAAAGGAACAGAAAACTTGTAATGCTTTTGCAAAATAATTACCTGTGATAAGCACAAGCCTTGCCAAATTGGGCAAGACTTGCCAAAAGATAACAGACAAGAAATAATTTGCAAAGTAAGAATCTTCAAATACAAACTCAGGATACTGGAATATCCACGAGGCTGGGGGTTTCAAAACGTCTTTGCTTCCTGCAAAGAACGTCTGATTCACAGTTGGCTTTTATCTTCTTGAAGGAGGGCACATTACCTTGCAGCCTTACTCCCGAGTTGCCCGGGCTGTTGTAGCTTCTCTTTCCTATGAGCAATCCTGCACGCACGTGTACTTAGCACAGGCTCCTCGGGAGCCTCCTCATCACTGCTGCCAGCCCCCACAATCTCCGAAGGCAGCAGTCCACTCCCTAATGGTCCTGGCCCCTCATCTGAGTCCTCGCTCTCCTCAGCCGTCCACACCTGCTGCCAGCTAACCACAACATACACATGGTTGATCAAGCAAGATGGAGAAGGGGGGCGGGAGGAGATGGAAACCTTTCTCCCTCTTACACGCCACACATAATACACATAACACATCAGTCACTTCTGCAAGAAGACAAACAACCTTCAAAATTGTCCCATCAAAAGAAAAAGAAAAGAAATGAGTGCTTCCTTATCAGCTCTCCTACGTCAAGGTTGGGGAAGGGGGCTGTTGACCTGGCCTCTTCCACAAGAGGCCTTCAATTGGACCCTGGGGAGCAGGGCGGGGGAGAGAAAGAAACACATCACGAGACCAAGCCAAGGAGAGTAGGCAGGGCAACCAGGACCAGAACAGAAGCAGGAGCAGCCGTCCATCCATGGCATTTAAAGCCTGGGTCAGTGAGATAGACAGATTTAAATAACGTGGGGCCAGAGGATGCAATGCCTTCAGAAGAGAGGTGAGGTGGTTTGAAGTGGAGACTGTTGGGGGCGTTAGATTCTTAAAATGGGCTTTCCGGGGCTTTGAACTGGCACCGGTACCAACAGCAGTTCTGAGATCCAATGTGGTTTTTTTTTCCAAAGTGGGGCTTGTAATGGGAAGGAAGGGAAGGGAAAAGAAGAGGAGAGGAGAGGAAGAGAAGAGAGAAAAGAAGAGAAGAGGGAAAGGAAGGGAAGGGGAGAGGAGAGGAGAGAAAAGAGAAGAGAGAAAAGAAGAGAAGAGGGAAGGGAAGGGAAGGGGAGAGGAGAGAAGAGAAGAGAAGAGGAGAGGAGAGGAAGAGAAGAGAGAAAAGAAGAGAAGAGGGAAAGGAAGGGAAGAGGAGAGAAGAGGAGAGGAGAGGAAGAGAAGAGAGAAAAGAAGAGAAGAGGGAAAGGAAGGGAAGGGGAG